AAATGTTCAATTGCTAGCTAGATAATTTATCTGAGTAAATACTAATATAATGTTTAAAAAATAAATTTAAAGAAAATTTTATTTATAAAACTATTTTTCTTAATAAAGTTACTAGATAATTACTATATTTATATGTTATTTATATATAAAGTAATTATAGAGTTATTTACTGTTATCTAGATAGTTGCAATTACTAATTATCTTAGTCTATAATGTGTATACTATCAAAAAGATTAGATATAAATCTGTTCTACATTATTACAACTAGTTACTGTATAAACTAGCTACTGTTCTACTTAAATTAATCATATTTATCTTCTTTATCAATTTATTTTATCTTTCACTTACTGTATTAATCAAATTTTTTTCTTATCTTACTTATAATCTAACTAACTTTTCAAAAGTTCTTTAATATTTAAAGAAATTATTGTAAATAATATTTGAATTAACTAACTTATAAGTAAATTTTTTATATTTTTATCTTTACTCTTATTTTTATTATTAATCTTATTTTTATCTTTATTTTTTAATATTTTAATATATTTTTTATTATGTTTCTATTATTCAGTGCTTGTGAGATTTGAGTTTTTAAATCAATAGTATTTAATAATATGCTCTGTATTCTTATAGTAGTAATATTGACATTCATCAAATTATTCAATAATTATATTCACAGCAGATGAGTTAAAATGAGCTATAGTGATAGTAATATAAGTAGTTAATTAATTTATCAATTCATCAATATTCAGATTTTAAATAAGATTCTACTTAATGATATAGAAATTATTCAATTTCATTCTAACTAATTTTTATTATCAATCTTTTAGTTCTAAAATAAATAGATTATAATAAATATTCTCAGCTTAATTTTTATCTAGAAATATAAGTTTTATCTTTAGCTCTCAAAAAGTTATAAAATAGATATAAAAATTATTATTTTTGAACTATAAATCTATTAATTTTTTAATAATTTGAAAATATTCTTCTGTATGAAATATAATATTGTGTTAAATAAGATTCTTTTATATAGTTACTGTGAGATAAAAATTTTCATTCAGTGATTTTATAGTCATGTACAGTTGCATTTAAAAATTAAAAGATTCTTATATAAAAAAGTTTAATTTTCTTATTCTAAAGCTCAATTTTCAGAGTAACTATAATAAAAGATGCTGTTTGTTATTTATTAAAAATATCTTTTATTTGAATCAAATAAGCATTTATAAGAATAAAGTTCTTTTATTTTAAATAATTAACTTCAGTAAGAATAATTATATATATTTTTTTCAATTTAATCTTTGTATCTTTGTGAAATTCATCAACTCTATTTTTGATAGAATTTTTAGTAGTATTTGACAAAGAATCTGAGTTTTTTTCTAGTCTTTGTATGAGTATTTTTATCTATATGTTCTGTATTTTCATATATTTTATCATCATTTGTATTATATTCATATTACTTTTATTTGTATTTATTTTATCTTTTTGATCAGTTTTTCCTCTAGACTCAGAAATAGATATATTGTATTCATCTCTATTCATATTGTTGCTTGCAGAGATATTCAATAATTCTGCAGTTAATATTCTTAAAAACATCTGTTATCTTCTCTTATTTCAATGTTTTTTTTATGATAAAAGCTTTTAAAACAGTCACCTTTTATCAGATTCTTGCTGCAATTCAATGATGCAGTCCACACAAGACATTTTATATCTCAGATAAAAGAAGAAGAAAAAGTAGTGTGCAGACGACTCTTCAAAAAAAGAACAAGATATCTAGGCTCATAACCTGTTGGACATCCGAAGTGGTTGTACAGGTAGCCTATCTCAGGGATGCTATATACTTCTGTGTGGTGCACTAGTCCATAATAGGAAGCCTAGGCTCCAAACAGTAAAGGAGGAGCCTTACTAATTAGCTTGGGTGGAAACCTTAAAAACTACCTAGGGCCAATTAACTAGTTAGCTTATATAAGAGTAGATAACTACCATCCACAGCAGCGGCATTCCAACTTTTAACAATCTATGGCCACATCCCACCCACATCCAGCACGACCAGCAGCAAACTGTTGCATTGTCACTCAAGATTCTTCCATCATGAACCTGCTAGACTTAGCATAGCAAGATATGCCCTCGACTCATATAATGGCCGAGCTTCTTCATAGACGCTCTTTTCCCGCCCTGCTCTCCCCCTCAGCCGAGATGCGGGGTCTCCTCTCGGCTCCCCGCGGCCTCTCCCACTCTCGACGGCGGCGACATTACCAGAGTTCTGCGGCATCTTGCAGTATTTCAAACAGTGGCAGTCAAGCAGTGTCTTCGTTGACACCTCCATCTTCAATACCCTTACCATCGCAGCCGCCATATATTCCCCCTTCATCATTTCCCATATCCCCCTCTCCACGGCTGTCCGCTCTAAAGAAGGCAAAACCATTCTCCGACTTTTTGACCGATACCTTCAACCGCCAGCATGACTACCTTCGCATTAGCATTACGGAGCGCTGCAACTTACGGTGCCTCTACTGCATGCCGGAGGAAGGAGTTCCCCTCTCGCCACCGACTCACCTCCTCACTACTCCCGAAATTGTATATCTGTCCTCCCTTTTTGTTTCTCAAGGTGTCACTAAAATACGCCTGACAGGAGGCGAGCCAACTGTCCGAAAAGATATTGTTTCCATGATGCAGCAGATAGGAAACCTACGGCGGGATGGTTTGCGGGAGCTGTGTTTAACCACCAATGGTATTTCACTACATCGCAAACTAGATAGCATGATTGAAGCCGGTTTGACTGGTGTCAACCTGAGTTTGGATACGTTGGACCCGTTCCAATTCCAAATCATGACCCGCCGGAAGGGATTTGAAGCCGTCATGAAAAGCATCGACCGAATCCTGGAAGTGAATAGACTTGGTGCTGGGATAAAGCTGAAAATCAACGCTGTGGTTATGCGCGGATTAAACGATCGAGAACTTCTCTCCTTTGTTGAGTTGGGGCGAGAAAAGCCGATCGAGGTCAGGTTCATCGAGTACATGCCGTTCGATGGGAATAAATGGAGTCAGGGGAAAATGCTACCCTACAAGGAAATGCTTTCCATCATTCGGGAGAAATATCCCAACTTGGAGAAAGTCGCAGACCACAAAAACGATACGAGCAAGACATACCGTGTGCCTGGATTTGGAGGGCGTGTCGGATTCATTACGAGCATGACTCACAACTTCTGCGGGACTTGTAACCGCCTGCGCATTACCAGTGATGGGAACTTGAAAGTATGCTTATTTGGAAATGCTGAAGTTTCGCTAAGAGACATGATACGAAAGGAGAACAACGGGGAACCGATCGATGACAAAGCGATGGAATCACTCGGTCTGTTGGAGTCCGCTCGAAGAGCTCGTCGAACTGAACAAGAAGGTGCATTTGTCAACCAGCGAGAACTGGACCTGCTTGATATCATAGGTATGGCCGTCAAGCGGAAGAAGGCAAAACATGCTGGCATGGGAGAATTGAAGCATATGAAAAATAGGCCCATGATTTTGATTGGTGGGTAGGATTTTAATATATATATATAGCCATTTGAGAAAGAACTTTTTGGTGATATGTGGCGTTCTTGGGGGTGCCATTTTTGGATCATTTTGGATTCTTTCCGTTTTCCTTTTTGGAACAAGACTTTCATAGAAGACGTATGTGGAATTTGCATATGTTGGCTCAATGTCTTTGGTTTCTTTGAATACCATACCCGTGTTATTCTTATGATACAATGGAGAGCTTATCATTTGCACATTTTGTATTCCTTGCTTGAGAATATCTCATCTGTAATCACTCAACGGTGCTAATAAGGGGTTTCACCAGATGAACCTGCTATTCCTTTCGATAATGATATGCAAAACATCCCAAGAATGGTACACATAAGAAAGCTATTGGCGCGTTCTCCCTGGTCTACAGTCCCTACGCATTTCCTCCCCACCGCTTCGCCTTCTAGGGCCCCTTTCCGTCTATATTCGACTCAACGACCCATGGAACCAAGCAATCTACGAACTACACCCAATCCGTCTTCAAAAACTCCATCAACCTCAATCCCAGATCTACCCACAACCTCAGACCCGTCCCTCCCGCACCTCACTCCATCCCAAACGGTCCACATGACCTCCATCTCTCACAAGGCGGAAACTACCCGCGTCGCCACGGCAGTGTGCCGTGTCACCTTCTCCAATCCAAAGCCCTACTCCCTTCTCACAACGGCGGACGGGTATACGAAGAAGGGCGATGTGCTGTCCGTCGCGCGGATCGCGGGGATTATGGCTGCCAAGCAAACGGCGGATATCATCCCACTGGCTCATCCGGGTCTTGGTATAACGGGCATCGAAGTTGATATCCAAGCCTGCGTGCCTGAGAATGTGATATCTTCCGCGAAACCAGAGCGTAATAATTCCGTTGTTAATGGCGGGTCACCACCAACAGTTACAACGACTGAGGATTTAGTTAAGTCCTCCTCCTACCCCTATGGTAGTATCCTGATTACCGCGACGGTGTCATGCCATGGACGTACTGGGGTCGAGATGGAAGCGATGACGGGAGTGATGGGTGCGGCACTAACTGTGTATGATATGTGCAAGGCGGTGGACAAGGGGATGGTGGTGGGTGAGGCGAGAGTGGTGAGGAAGCGGGGCGGCAAGAGTGGGGATTGGGAGTTGGGGATTAAGGTGGATGATGGAGGGGAGGGGGAGGGGCAGGAGCGGAGGAAGGTATTGGAAAGTTAGGATTGCTATGTGGATGACAATTTAGATCCCGTTGTGTACACTAAGTTAACTGTGCGTTGTGAGAGGCACTGCACATAGTATGACCTCACCCTTACATTAACCAATCTTCATTTAAGAAAGCAGTTGAAAATATCCTCAAAACTTAAATACAAAATGTTTCTACCTTTTCACAAACCGGAAGTCAGTGAACGCACAATCAAAATTTATGTACCAGATGTGATACACGGAACGCACACTGATTATCTCGCTTATACTTTACCAGATTAATCCTTCATATCCTCATCATTTTCATCCTCCTCACTTCTCACAGAAGCAACATCCTCCATCTCCACATCACCACCTGCCGCCCGTTTCTTCCGATCCTCCAATCGACTCCGCTCAACCAACTTGATCTGCTCGTCCTTCTGTCTCCTCTGCGTTTTCACGAATGCTCCCAACGGCGTAGTTTCCCACTCCACATCCTTCAGGAACCTTTCAACCTCTGCTCGTTCCCTTGGAGAGAATGTCACTTTTGACCGCTGCTCCTCGATCCAGCGACTATTCGCCTCAAGCTTCTGCACAAGCAAAACGACCATTTGATTGACCTTCGTATTCTTGTTTCCCGACGTGCGAGAAGATACCTCCTTCAACCAGCGCTTGAGCATGACAATTACGGGCAGCGACAGTTCCGGGAACGAGATATTTTTGGCCCATAGAACGAAGAATTCCGAGAAAAGTTCTGCAACTTCAAAGCCCACGCCGTCTTGGTAAACGCGGGTTCGTAGGTACGATTTTGGAGCACGGATGCTCGTGGCGAAATCGAGAGGGCGGAGGGCGCTGGATTTAGGTGGTTTTCTCATTTCGACGGAATTGAGGACCTCCAAAAGTGCGGCTGCGAGGGGGATGTAGGTTCCTGTTGCAAGGGAGATGCGGAGAAGTAATCGAGTAAGTTGGAAGCGGAGTGGGAAGTATTGCGCTGTTGGCATTAGGCGCATCGCACCTAGGGTGATCTGGACGACAGGGTAGATAAGCGGTCGTAGAGGGGATGCCTTCCCGGCGGTGGTTTCCGCCACTGAATCGCAGTGAGACGATAAAACTCTCGACCAAAAGTCCAAGGAATGGACGTACTGCCAGTTGTATATGGTCTTGTAGGAGTCTTTTGATGGACGAATGATGCTGCTTCGTAGATGCACCGCTAGTTGTCTGATAAAGCTAAAGCCCGTTGTATAGGAGACATTCTGATCGATTCCCCAAATCTCAGCCGCAGAGTTTTTGATAAGATTTACGCCAGCGAGCGTGTGCACGGTGGTATTTCTACTACCCTTAACCACTCCCTCATAGGTTGTCTTTAGAACTGAAGATTGGATTCCAGAATCTCCAGTTACCATCAGGCGGCGGACGATGAGAAACGCTGTGATTCGGGTGGCTTCAGTGCTGGCTGAATCGGACCAGATGCCAACAACGGTCTTGAGAATGGCTTTTAAGAGTTTTCTAAAGGGAAGAAGATATGGAAGCATAGGCTCAATTGATGCCAACGTCAGCTTCAAGGCGGCTGCGTCGGACAGGTTCGTAAGAAGTTGATGGACGGATGATGCGTGCGACTTGATGAGGGGAGTCAACGTTTTAAATTTCTTGGACTCTAGAGAGACTCTGACTTTCCCACTCGTAGTCTTTTTTATGGGTAGATGGTGATTTAAAACTTTAGGGACGTATTCCAAGGCCGTGAGAAAGACTTGGTGGTAAACACTTGTATCTGAAATGGTGTATTTCCGGTCCTTTGAATCTTCCTCGTTCATGTAGGCGGCTGATCTGAATGCCAAGACTGCCTGTCGTGTTGCTCTTAACGAATACTGCTCCGTCATTGATTTCTGCCATTTTTTAACCATTGACAAAGTAATCGTATCGTTCGAATCGTCATCTTGGCTTGCTTTGGACGCCTTAGCTTTATTCTTTTTCTTCACAGGGTGGGCTTCTTCTTCTTCACCACCACTAAGTGCATCGATCTCAGCAAAATCCCAATGGTCTCCAAACTCCAGTAGCTCCGCATCATTCTCCTTCAGATATTTATAGAATTCAGGGTCTTTATCCTTTAGGGCTTCTAGCTGTTCAAGATGTGCGTCTAAATCACCAATGTCACTCCCTGCAGAGGTTGCATCGCTCTGTGGCCCGTCATTTTCTTCGTTATCGATCTGTGTCGAGAATTCCTGATCATCTTCTCTTCCCTCTACCTCATCTGCCCGCTTCCTCTTCCCAATCTTCGGGGGAACATCCTTTTTAGAGGGCTTATTTTTCATTTTAGGAGCAGCATCGGGTACATCAAATCCACCAGCAAAGAAGTCATCCACGTTCATCTCAGAAAATGCATTCTTCTGCTCGTCTGCAGCAGATTTCCGACCACCAATACCATTCTGCTGGATCTGTTCACCCTGCTCACTTTCTGCTCGGCCATGTATTCGTGTGGACTGTTGTTTCTTTTCCTTCAGACGGTGTCGTTGCTTGACCTTGGCGAATTCCTTGCGGTGCTCGATTGTGTCCTTGAGATGCTTCTTCTCGAACTTTTTAGTGGCCTTTTTCGCAGAGCCTGCCATGGTTGGGAGACTGAGCTTTCAGTTTGTAAGCCAACCAATGCGAACAAATATATGGCATATGTTTACATACCCCGTTGTTGTTGGTATTTCTCTCTCTACCCAGACAAATGGTAGTCTGTTGTCGTTTCTTTTCCTCACCGAAAACTCAATTTTGTGTTTTTTCTTTTTGCGGCAGAAAACACAGGTGCTTACTTAATTCTGCTCCTCCAACAGGCTTTTTTAACTCTCTGCAAAAAAGCAGCCAACTAAAGAACTTAAGGAATGAACAAAGGCAAACAAGCAGCTGTTTATTTAAACCGCGAGATGAATCAACAGCAAACACAGGAACAGCAACGCCCACTATCCTATGCGCCCACCCCTTACAGTTATACCCCAAATACGGCGCTGTCTGCTTCAATTAATCTGGATGAGGTACGCGCTTAGGTTCTTGGGTTCTTTTATTTTTCTTGCCGCGCTGACAAGAAGTTAACTATTGACTCCAGGAAGTCAAGCTATCCTCTACCTCCGCTGAGAGGGACCTCTACGAATCCTTAGCGGAGATATACAGCATCATCCTAACACTGGACTGGTTGGAGAAGGCTTATATCAAAGATGCGATTACGGAATCTGAATATACGGAAACATGTTCGCGGTTATTGAAGCAGTACAAATCTAGCTTGAGTGATGAAACTGTTGCTAGAGAGTTCGTTGATCTGGATACATTTAAGCAGAAATGGGGGGTATGTGAATCTATTTACCTGTTTATTTCTGTTTATCCTGTTGAAGTTTTTAGTTCCCGGGTTTCCCCCCCCCAAACACACCCACACCCACAACCCTACAACTGCAGATACAGCAGTCAAAACTAATTGCTTTGCAGCTGGAATGCCCCAGGGCGACAGAGAGACTCAGGATTGGACTTCCGGTTACCGTCGAGCAACCCTCACACAACGCTGCATCTGGCACCAACAACGCAAACACGGGCGCATCTGGCAGTCTGATCCTAGCAGCCACAGAGAACTTCATCACATTCCTCGATGCTCTGAAACTGAACATGGTGTCCAAGGATGCCCTCCACCCACTGCTGTCTGAAATTATACAGTCTGTCAACAAAGTAACCGATCAGGACTTTGAAAACAGAGGGAAAATAATTCAGTGGCTCATTGCTCTCAACCAGATGAGGGCGACGGAGGAGCTCACTGAGGACCAGGCTAGAGAACTGGCCTTTGAAATCGAACAAGCCTACCAGGGCTTTAAAGATACGCTGAATTGAAACCGCCCACCCACCCTTTGCGGGCAGGTAATGTTATCGTTATATACAATCGGGTTGCGCATGATTTGTGGTTAACTTCCAGAATTTGGTTAACTCCAGAAGTTTACTGCACATATACCCCATTATTAACCATTATTGTTTGCTTCTTTTTCATAGGTTCCTCTTTCCGCCAACGCACGGACCACTTCCATAGTCGATATCTTCCATTTTTTTTTTCCTTTTTTACCCCCACGTTTTACTTTGGCATTAGATTAAATACTTGAACATCCAACACATATTTCGCCACATTACGATACTTTGTAAATTACGACATTATTTAGCGCTATTCTTTGACATCTTCTCTTGTTTTTTTTTATTAATTTCCCAATTTCCCAGTATCTCCTGTCAGCACTAAGCAAGCAAGTTGGGGCAACTAACCCCAATTCGCATATAGCAGCCCCAATACCAGTACATCCTGATAATGTCTGGTGGCTCACAACCGCTTCATGGTGAAACTTATTTGTTATGCCTTTAATACTTTGTAGTAATGGCCTAGATATAATGGACTAATAGCTCCTATGAGCCGAATTTATCCAGTGTTTGACCTCCCCCAACTCTACACTAAGCCAGCTGCAACAGATATTCTACGAGCCCTCGAACAGCTTGCTGTCCGACCACGCAGCTTCGACAATGACATCAAGGACGGTCAACCAACAGTCCTCCAAGCCGGCGTCTCACAGTACCTAACATCCATCATTGCAAGCGCACTATCATGGATCGAATCCGACAAGCTCCGAGAAGCCATATGGGATGCGGCCAGCGCGCGCCTCTGCGAACGCTCAGGAAGAACAGGTATCTCTATGCTCAGTCATATCATATATAGAACGTTGCTAATTATATCCTCCCCAAAAAAGCAATGCCCGCTATCTCTCGCGTTTTCACCATCCCCACAACACAAGACACAACCTTTCAACTCACTTTACATGAACCGTCCCTCACCTCCGATAACCTAGGCATGAAGACTTGGGTTTCGTCCTACCTGCTCGCCAAACGCCTACATACTCTCATTCCTCCTTCTTTCCTCAACTCATCTAGACAAAAAAATAATCGTCCTCTCCGCGCTCTGGAGCTAGGCGCCGGAACTGGACTCGTGGGTCTCTCCTTTGCCGCGATCTGTGGTTCCCTTGCCCTCATCCACCTTACTGATCTGGATGCCATCGTACCGAATCTCGCCCACAACGTCGAGCTAAATAAAGAACTCCTGGACAGTACGGGCGCGACTGCGACAACGGGTGTCCTGGACTGGTCGTTAGAAATGGACTTGCGGTCGGAGCCATCCGATAGCGAAAGGTACGATGCTATCCTTGCTGCGGATCCGCTGTACTCCTCGGATCACCCACAGTGGCTTGTGCAGACTATCCGGCGCCGGTTGCATCCGGGCAGTGGGTCAAGGGCTGTGGTGGAGATGCCATTGAGAGATGCTTATTTGCCGCAGGTGGAGGACTTTAGGCGGCGCATGGATGCTGTTGGGTTGGCTGCAGTAAAGGAAGGGGAGGAGATAGGGTATGATGACTGGGAGAAGATGGATGGGGAAGCGCTGGAGGTGCGGTGTTGGTGGGCTGTATGGGGGTGGAGGGAGGAAGGAATTCAATAGTGGTATAGAGCTAATGCAGGATGCTATGAGATAGTTGATTAATGATTAGATGAGTTTTGTTTGGAATAGAATTAGCGAATTGACTAAATTAGCGATAGGAAACCAATAGAGAGAGGTATAAACCTGCATATATTAGACCATTCCCTTGGATTTTTATCTAACTGTACCTGCATATGCTCTACATGTATATAGAATGTGCCCTTGGCTTGTTTTGATGGAATTTTGAAAATGTGACCCGGGGAACTGCGCCTGTATGACGTCACCGCATGTTGCCTGTTTTTCACCCGTCCAACTATCAAGGAAAATGATATTAACCAGGAATGAAAAATATTCCTAAATTCACATTTTAAGAGTCTGGAAATGACCAAATTGATAAAACCTCAATACCACAACGTATACCGAGGGCAACAATCAAAATAGATAAAATATCAGCTTTGATACCATCACCATACGAATTTTAACACTGAGAACTTAAGAACGACAAGTATGGTCCTTGGTATTTTTACAATAACCGCAATCCCAACCGTTGTCGGCGTCTCCCAAGGTGTAAGCGAGCAGAGGAAAACAAACCAGCGGCAAGGAGACGAAAAGCGCCTCGAGAAATTCTATCTCGATGTCCTCTGTGACACTAATTCTGATGCGGCGAGAGGGCTTTATGGGCGGAGAATGGTGTTAAGGGATAATAAGGTATGTGATGGCTTTTTTAGGTGTTTTGTAATGGTATGCAAGTGAGGCAAAATATCTGTCTGTAGTCCAGGAAGCTGAAATGTTCCCATCAGATTTATCTCGATTCCCCCTCATCCGAGTCCCGTTCCATCCCCAGCCGTACTGCCGAAGCCTTCTACATCGCCTACCCAGACGACCAACGCAAACCTACCCTAGGGCTTGTCAGCACTATATCTGCCGACCCACCCATGCTCAATTGGATATATCTTGACAGACACACACTGGAGCTCAAATACGGTAACCGGACGCAGAGCCGCGAGCATTTTGTCGGACCCTGGGATTGGACGGAGGATGAGATGGGATTGACACTACATGATATCGAGGAATTTGCAGCAGTAGAGGAAGAGGAGGGTATTTGGGCGGTTTATTTTGATTGGGATGGGGATGGGTTGAAGGGGAGTGTTAGGAGGAAGAAGAAAGTGGTGGAGATAAATTTGGAGCGGCATATGGTCAAGCCAGAGGACGAGAGTGGGAAAGAGATGGAAGACCAGGAGAAGGAGAAGAGAGGGTGAAATCGGTATCATTTATGTTCTTATGGGTAGGAGTTCAACTGGAGATATGAAGTTGGCTGGGAACCTGGAGTTTATAGATTGTTACTCATACGTGCAGGGTGAAAGTAATTTTAGTCTTCAATCCCATCCCAAGACTCATTATCATTTGCATAGCCTTCCCCTTCAACCTGTACCTGTTGTTTCCGCCGCAGGCTTGCCTTAGCCGCGTCTCTCCGGTTCCGTTCGATCCGCCTCTCAAATCCACTCTTTGTGCTGATCCTCGTTTTTCGCTTATCCTTTTCATCCTGCTTTCCCTTTGTCACAGGCCTTCGAACCTTCACGCCATGCTGTTTGAGATCTTTTTTGTCCTTCTTGGACAGATTGGGCAATGCATCTAGCAGCCATTTTTGGATCCCTTTATCACTAGGGACTCCCCGTAATTTCTCATTTGCAGCGATAACATTCGCGATATTCTTCACGTAAGGAATATCCTCCTTTGTGTAAAAGGTGACACCCACTCCACCCTCACGACCAGCCCTGCCCGTTCTTCCAACGCGGTGAATATATGCCGCGCTAGAATTGGGTATATCGTAGTTCACGACGCCGTTGATTCCGCGGAAATCCACCCCGCGAGAAAGGAGATCGGTGGTGATGAGAATCCATATCTCGCCTTTGCGGAAGCCTGCCATAACGTCAGACCTCTGCGAGTCAGAGAGTTCAGAATGGAGAACGGCGATACGTGACGGTCCGCCCGCTTCAGCTGGGATGTCATATTTCAATTCTGAATGTAATGCCACAGCTCTGGATATGGTTTGCGTAAATACTAAAAAAGGTGGACGTAGATGGATATCTGACGCAGAGATTGCGCCTGTTGGATGAAGCAGCTGTCGCAACCCCAGAAGCTTCCCTTGTTCAGTTGCTGCGTAGACGAGTTTGTGGGAAATATTGGGAATTGCAGTATCTTTTAATCCAACGACCAACCGAACAAGGAAGGATTCGTCCCCAAGCCCCAGAGAATTTTGCCGTTCGCTAATAGTTGATTTGACCAGCTCCTCAATATTAGAGCCCATTGTTGCAGACCATAACCCAACTCGTAATTGGGCGTTAGTGCAGGCCCGCCATACACCGAGGGTCTGCTCGCGGAATAACGGGTCCAAAAGTACATCTGCTTCATCTAAGGCAAGACTCTGGACGGCAGACAGAGGAGCTATATCGCGGTTTTTATTACCGGAAAGAGAATTCGCAAGCAAGGGGGGAGTCGAAACTAGAATATCGCTGTTTGTAATAGGGTCGTTTCCTCTGGACTGTTTTGCTTTTGTGGCTCCAACGCCGCCACTTTCGGAGCTCACGCTCTCTCCATCAGAGGGGTCTTCACCTCCTCCTACGCACTCCACGAGTCGCATCCTCTTCCGCATAGCTGTAATCCTAACCCCGGTGCCCAACATGAGCTTCCGACCTTCGTTAACAATTTGGGAAACAAGCTCCTTCGTTGGTGCCAAGACAATGGCGAACAACTCTCTCGATTGGGAATCGTTATGGTGGTGATGTCGTATTATTTTATTGATGAGCGGAATCATTAAAGCTAATGTTTTCCCACTACCAGTTGGAGCAACAACCAAAAGGTCAGGTTCAAGTCCGAATGAGGAAGATTGCTCCCCTTTTACTTGATTCCGCGAAGCCGAACTAGGACAACCACCCAGCAGCAGTGGAAGAGCGCCAAGTTGTACCTCAGTAGGGGCGCTGTAGCCTTGATTAAGAATGTTCTCGAAGAGCCGTCGAGAAATTTGATATCTCGTTCTCAACTGCTGGAACGACATAAGTGGTTCTGGATACATTCTCAGGGCTTTCCGCTGCTGTTTCCGGCTCAAATCATTTGGGGTAGGTTCTAGCTTTTGCTTCTTTTTCGTTTTCTTTTTTGACTTTTTATCCTCTCGTTCAATCACTGTTGGGGGTGTTCGGAGATCTGTCACTTTGATCTTGTGCACTGTCAGGATCGCCTTTCGTGCTTCCTCACCCAAACCGGTATCCTCGAGGAAATCCCCATCGATAATATTTCCGCCTAACTTATAGCCCCCATTTTGCCCTTGCGTTGCATTTCTTGTTCCGCTGGTAGACAATCCATGAGTCCCAGATGAGCCTGGACCAAAAAAGTCTGGAGTTACAACAGCAGCTTCAGCAGAGACTTCATCTCTATCCGAACCTCTCTTCCGTTTCCTTACTTTCCTTTCATTTTGCTCGTCGCCAGATTCTATAGGGTATGATGCATTGCGGGCAGCAAATAGCTGGGGTGAGTTTGCTGCCCCAGCTGACGGTAAAGAGTTTGATATAAGTTGCTTTGTAGAGGCAGAGCCCGTTTTAAGTTTTGTTGAGCGGGTGAGGAGCTTGAAAGCGTCCATCTTCAGTACCTTCTCACTTCTAACCGTTTATTAAAACTGCATTGTATTCGTAAATTGTTTCGATGTCCACGGTTAATTTTAAGAAATTTAAAACCTCAGTAACTCTAATGTCACGTGGTCTGTGCTTCGAAAGCCGATGTTTATTCCAAACAACATGGAATTAAACCCAGCATTGCATTCAATGTCACTCAGTCAGTTATAAACAAAATTTACAGATAAACTCTTATGGATTAGCTATCTCCAGACAAACGAAATCTAGTTTTGAAGAATATACTCCGACAATATAAGTCGCACGACGGAACCTAAACAACCAGTGAAGAGACCGGCTTATTAAGTCCATCATCTATACAGCCTGAAGAGAATACGATAATGAAAAGATGGGAAGCAGTGAAGGAAAGATATGTGACAGAAATTTTTACAAAAAAAAAAAAAAAAAAAAAAAATATTAGTTTTATCTAATGCGCATGTCCAGTGTCGCCTCTGTATCCGACAAGTTTAAAGCGCCCAATAATCTCACCAACAGAAAAAAATCCAATCACCTCAGCAGCTGTGACACCAGCAACGGCCAATTGCTTTCTATCAATGTTCCGAAGAAGGGGAAGGATGTCTTCTGCATTGAAAGATTTGGATAGTTGGGAGATCAAGATCGATGGCTCGCGGAGGTTTCTGAGCAGAGGTTGATAATATCCCTGGAAAGTCGCTAGGCTTCTAATCGAAAGAAATTAGTTCATGGGCATAATTTAAAAGCTCATATGAAAGAGACCTGTGAAACTTACGGCAGGGACATCTTCTGCCCTCTGAATACTATTTTCGACAGCTCCAAACCAACTCTGGAGTAGTAAATTGTGGGAGGTATTAATGCTGTGAAGTTTGGTTTGAATCAGTAACTATTCATCCGACAAATGGCTTCTCATAACCCAATTTTGAACAACTGAACAAAGAACAATCTCCTTCGGGATCCTCAGCCATGCTAATGACATTAGATTGTGCCCTTACAATCAACGATAGCGATAAATTTGCCGGTTCGTCCACCCACTTTCCTTAAGGCTCTACTGACTCCTGAGAGGGCATTTGCAATCGCAGGACCTGCAGTAGCAGCAGCTTTGGAAATTCCCTGGGAAGCCTTTGTCGCAGCAGAGGTAGCAGTGTCCTTGGTCTTGGTTGCAGCCTCAGTGGTTGTTGACGCAAATCTGAAAGCCGGTCTTCGGATCAAATATCGCGACTGCCGCAGAACGGCGCGGGAGATTGAGACAGACATCCGGGAGGAGGGATGGAACGAGCGGCAGAGGAGATCAAGAAAGGGAAGAGGGAGAGGCCCAGGAGAACGGATGGCTCTCAATGGCAGCGGCGAAGAGGGCAATGGGGCGGGTTGTCGGTTGACGCTGTCGAAGATTTTTGTTTGCACATTTTTGTCGTCGGAAGGTTCAGGGAGGAGAGAAGATTTGTCAGCATATCACGTGGCGTGACTGTTCAATTATCAACTTTTGACGCTGGGAAAGTTTTCTGCCTGTCTGCAGCTTGAGTTACTTCTACATCTCATATGTTTCATTATATTAGGGCTACCTTGGCTCCAGATGTCTGCTAAGTCCTGTACTTCTCTATCTACTTTTAATACCTATCAACCAGCTAGTGATGGGTTATTCTGTCAAAACAAAGCTTAGAGCACTTTTTGAGCACTCTCTAAAGACCACACGCGTATGCAGGAGTTCATTGATTGAATGTTTTTGTCTTCTTCTTTTTGCCTTTTTAGTCCATCAATCGCAATTCCACTAAGCTTTAAGATTGGTTAACGCATAGATAATGCTTTATTCCAGGATTTAGATGGCAAACGGGTGTAGCTCTGTCTGCCGCTGTCGTTACACTTTGCCAATCACGAGAGCAACTCATTTTTCTATAATGTATCGGAATCCCTGATTCCAGTTATTTTACCAGAGGAAATCCTCCTATCAATCGGATGTCGTCTTCTTTGGTGCCTATGCTGATCTTGACTTTTGCAGAGACTGTGTCACATCACGTACAGATAGACAACTTGACGCAACAGCATCTAAGATGAACGATATAGCTCTATCCAGCAAGTAGCAGCGTTCGAAAGATTTCCCTTTGGCAAAAATGGATACTTTTGTTCTACTTTGAAACCTTCTGTGACTTTCAATTGAATCCGATTCTACATAGCCCGGTGCCCTTCTCTCCACCAATTTGAAGGGATGTGGTACCCTTTCGTAAAAATGTATTGTGTGCATCTATGAAAGTTTGTCATCTGTTGTCAAGGAGTTCTTTAAATCTCAATATGTTCACTTTGCCTTCTGGAAGATTCTTTCAGATACATTCACCTACAATGCTTACAAGCTGTGGATTGTGACAATGATGCATCCACAGCTGTCTATTTCTCTTTGGATAACTTTCTATGTCCTTTACCACCAATATTCTTATAACTAGAATCGATGGACTGGACAAATGTTACTTGGTGGTTCAAGTTGAAGATGTCTGAAATAAAGTTTGACAAGCCATATCCCAACCGGCAAAAGCGGTTGTGGGGAAAGCCTGCCCTGCAAAGACTTCTACGCCATTTTTCTCAGAAAAGCAAAGGTTCCGATTGTGAGCATACCAGCATTATTGCAGGAGGCA